GTTATAGGCTCTTGAGATCAGCATTCTGAGCATGAATATTTCTTGTCCCAGACCCTGAATATATCACAGAAAATAAAACTGGGCTTGGATATATGTTGACTTCCAGAGTGTTCCCTGGGAATTATGTCTGTGCATATGTTACTGATACCAGATTTTTCTCTTCATAATTTGGCCTTTATCCCAAAAGCCAAGATGCAGAAGAAAAATAGAGTGAATTAAATTAACTTTTACATAACAAAGACGTAAATTTAAAAATAAAATGAAAAGGAGGCATGGTGGCTCAAACATGTAATTCTAGCACCAGAGTGAGTGAGACAGGAGGATCATGAATTTGAAGTCAGCCTTGGCTACATAATTAGATCTCATTTAAACAGACAAATAAGCTAGATGGCAAGGTATTTTGTTTGTTTGTTTGGTTTGGTTTGGTTTTTCTAGACAGGGTTTCTCTGTCTTCCCTGGCTGCCCAGAACTCACTTTGCAGACCAGACTGGCCTTGAACTCACAGAGATCTGCCTGTCTCTATTCGCACCCTCAGTGCTGGGATTAAAGGTGTATACCGGTACCACCCGGCAATGGTGAGATTTATCTATCTATCTATCTATCTATCTATCTATCTATCTATCTATCTATCTATCTATCTATCTTGTTATCTCATTTATTTTATTTTATTTTTTTAAAATTTACTTGTTTATTTATTTATAAAAATTTCCACTTCCTCCCCTCCTCCCAATACCCTCCCACTCCTCCCACTCCCTCTCCTCCTCCCTCTCCAGTCCTAAGAGCAGTCAGGGTTTCCTGCCCTGTGGGAAAGTCAAGGTCCTCCCCCCTCCCTCCAGGTCTAGGAAGGTGAGCATCCAAACAGACTAGGATCCCAAAAAGCCAGTACACGCAGACAAAACAAGACCCAGTGCCATTGTCAATGGCTTCTCAGTCAGTCCCCATGTCAGCCACATTCAGAGAATTTGGTTTGATCACATGCTCGTTCAGTCCCAGTCCAGCTGGCCTTGGTGAGCTCTCATTAGATCAGTCCCCTTGTATCAGTGGGTGAACGCACCCCTCGCAGTCCTGACTTCCTTGTTCATATTCTCCCTTCTTCTGCTCCTCATTTGGACCTAGGGAGTTAAGTCCAGTGTTCCAATGTGTGTCTCTGTCTCTATCTCCATCCATCGCCAGATGAAGGTTCTATGGTGATATGCAAAATATTCATCAGTATGGTTATGGGCCAAGGCCAGTTCAGGCACCCTCTCCTCTGCAGCCCAGGGAACAATCTGGGGACCTCTCCTTGGGCCTGGGAACCCCTCCAGAATCAAGTCTCTTGCAAACCCTAAAATGGCTCCCTTAGTTGAGATATATACTTCCCTGCTCCCATATCCATCCTTCCTCCCTCCCCCCCGTCCCATTCCCCTTCTCCCTTCTCTCTAAAATGGTGAGATTTATAACACTAGTTTTGCTTTTCTGATGGCAATAAAGCAGGCTCTTATTTAGTCCAGGCTGGCCTCTTGCTATGGAGCCTAATATGGCCTGATTCGTCTTAGATTTTCTAATCTTGTAATACAAGCTAGGTAAGAAGGTACATGCCTATAACCCAGAGCTCAGGAAGGTGAGGCAGAAGGATCACTAGTTTCAGGCCGGCTTGATATATATATATATATGTTAAGACCTTGTCTCAAACAAAAATGACAACAACAACACTATAAAGCAATATGTATTTTAAACCATAAAATTAGGGCAAGGAAAATGAACAAACATAATAAATATTACCTATATTCAAATAGTCGTTAATGTTCTGGTATATACAATTCTAGATTTTCCTACAAACGTTTGTGTTTAATGTTTTTTAAAATTGAGATTATATTATACGAAAAAAACATCTGGGGCCAGTTAAAAATTGAACATACCAGCCCTGAAAAATATTATATGTTCTTTCTCTTTCTCACTTTCTCTCTCTGGTCTTTTATTTGATTTTTATTCTATTTCACTGATATTTATTGAGCTCTACATTTTTCTCTGCTCCCCTCCCTGCCTCTCCGCTTCCCCCTTCAATCCTCCCCCAAAATCCCTATGCTCCCAATTTACTCAGGAGATCTTGTCTTTTTCTACTTTCTACTTCCCATGTAGATTAGATCTATGTAAGTCTGTCTTAGTGTCCACATTGTTGTCTAAGTTCCCTGGGATTGTGGTTTGCAGGATGGCTTTCCTTGCTTTATGTTTAAAAACCACCTATGAGTGAGTACATGTGATAATTGTCTTTCTGTGTCTGGGTTACTCACTCAAAATAATGTTTTCTAGCTCCATCTATTTGCCTGCAAAATTCAAGCTGTCATTATTTTTTCTGCGGTGTAGTACTCCATTGTGTAAATGTACCACATTTTCCTTATCCATTCTTCAATTGAGGGACATTTAGGTTGTTTCCAGGTTCTGGCTATGACAAACAAAGCTGCTATGAACATAGTTGAGCACATGTCCTTGTGGAATGATTGAGCATCCTTTGGATATATACCCAAAAGTGGTATTACTGGGTCTTGAGGAAGGTTGTTTTCTAATTTTCTGAGAAATCGCCACACTGACATCCAAAGGGGCTGTACCAGCTTGCACTCCCACCAGCAATGCAGCAGTGTTCCCTTTTCCCCACAATCTCTCCAGCATAAGTTGTCATCAGTGTTTTTGATCTTGGCCATTCTTTCAGGTGTAAGATGGAATCTCAGAGTTGTTTCGTTTTGCATTTGTCTGATGACTAAGGATGTTGAACATTTCCTTAAGTGTCTTTCAGTCATTTTAGATTCCTCTGTTGAGAGTTCTCTGTTTAGGTCTGTACTCCATCTTTTTATTGTATTATGTGATCTTTTGGTGTCCAATTTCTTGAGTTCTTTGTATATTTTGGAGATCAGACCTCTGTCTGATGTGGGGTTAGTGAAGATCTTTTCCCATTCTGTAGGCTGTTGTTTTGTCTTGTTGACCATGTCCTTTGCTTTACAGAAGCTTCTCAGTTTCAGGAGGTCCCGTTTATTAATTGTTGCTCTCAGTGTCTGTGCTGCTGTGGTTATATTTAGGAAGCAGTATCCTGTGCCAATACATTCAAGTGTACTTCCCACTTTCTCTTCCATAAGGTTCAGTGTGGCTGGCTTTATGTTGAGGTCTTTGATTCATTTGGACTTGAGTTTTGTGCATGGTGACAGATATGGGTCTATTTTTATTTTTCTACATGTTGCTATCCAGTTATGCCAGCACCACTTGTTAAATATGCTTTCTTTTTTTCCATTTGATTTTTTTGCTTCTTTATCAAAAAGCAGGTGTTTGAAGATGTGTGGATTGATATCTGGGTCTTCTATTCGGTCCCATTGGTCCTCCTGTCCTTATGCCAATACCAGGCTGTTTTCAGTACTGTAGCTCTGTAGTAGAGTTTGAAGTCAGGGATTGTGATGCCTCCAGAAATTCTTTTGTTGTACAGGATTGTTTTGACTATCCTGGGTTTTTTTGTTTTTCTAACTGAAGTTGAGTACCATTCTTTCGAGGTCTTTGAAGAATTTTGCTGGGCATCGCGTTGAATCTGTAGATTGCTTTTGGTAAGACTGCCATTTTTGCTATGTTAATTTTGCCTACCCAAGAGCATGGGAGATCTTTCCACTTTCTGGTGTCTTCTTCAATTTCTTTCTTCAAAGATTTAAAGTTCTTGTCATACAAGTCTTCCACTTGTTTTGTTAGAGTTACTCCGAGATATTTTATGCTATTTGTGGCTCCTGTGAAGGATATTGATTCTCTGATTTCTTCCCCAGTCCTTTTATCATCTGTGTACAGGAGGACTACTGATTTTTGCTGAAAGTGTTTATGAGTTGTAGAAGTTCCTTGGTAGAATTCTTGGGATCACTTATGTAAACAATCATATCCTCTCTCTGGTCTTTTAAGACAAGGTTTTTTTTTTTTTCTTTTTTTTCATGTAGCCCAGGTTGGTCTTGAACTCACAGTAAGCGTTTTGCCTTGTCCTTGAGTGCTGGAATTGCAGCTGTGAATTGGCGCAAATATGACTTTTAGTGCATCTCTCTCTCTCTCTCTCTCTCTCTCTCTCTCTCTCTCTGTGTGTGTGTGTGTGTGTGTGTGTGCTATTCTTCTCGTAGTGAACATTTTTTCCTTCAGTAAAAATAACATTGTGAACAAGATATTTTCATACAATTTGAGAGCATCTCTTCAATGTCTATAGAATAGATTGCTGAGAGTAGGATTACAGGTCTTAAGAGTTGTGAACATTTTTAAGATTCTTGATAAAATTGTCACATTGTCCTCAAGGAAACTTGACCAATTTGTGAACTACTTCTATTAATTTAAAAAAGATTCATTGTTTTGTGTGCATGAGTGTTTTCTTTGCATGTATGTAAAGTGCATTACGTGTATGCCCGGTACTAGCCAAGGTCAGAAGAGGGCATCCAGTCCTTTGGGACTGTAGCTAGAGGCAGTTGTGAGTTAACTTATGAATGCTGGGAATCAAATCTGGGTCTTCTGCAACAAGTGTTATTAACCACTGGGCCAGCTCTCCAGTCTTGTGTACTCTTAAAACTACAGTCCTTTACATTTTTCAACTTTGTATTTTCATTCATCAATTTCTTTTTTCCTTTCTCTCTCTCTCTCTCTCTCTCTCTCTCTCTCTCTCTCTGTCTCTCTCTCTCTCTCTGTCTCTCTGTCTCTCTCTCTTGTTTCTCAAGACAGCGTTTGTCTGTGTAGCCTTGGCTGTTCTGGAACTCCCTCTTTAGACTATGTTGCCTCTGCCTCCTAAGTGATGGGATTAAAGGCGTGTGCCACCACCACCCGGCTTCATGCATCAATTTTAAGAAGAAAACTTAACAGACTCTAAAACTTCTCTCTGAGCTTTGATAGGTCCATTCAGCTGATCTGTCATGGACTTATTGCTGTAACAGGACTTGTTACCTCATTTTCTAATGCTTTAAGACTATGCTTTTTCTCATCTGTTTGTTTCCTTTTCCAACTTCACATGTGGGTTTTTGTTGCAGGTTCAGGTGTGGGACACAGCAGGACAGGAACGCTTCCGTAAAAGCATGGTGGAGCACTACTACCGCAACGTGCATGCCGTGGTCTTTGTCTATGACGTCACAAAGATGACCTCCTTCACCAACTTAAAAATGTGGATCCAAGAATGCAATGGGCATGCTGTGCCCCCACTAGTCCCAAAGGTGCTTGTGGGTAACAAGTGTGACTTGAGGGAACAGATCCAGGTACCCTCCAACTTAGCCCTGAAATTTGCTGACGCCCACAACATGCTCTTGTTTGAGACATCAGCCAAGGACCCCAAAGAAAGTCAGAACGTGGAGTCAATTTTCATGTGCCTGGCTTGTCGACTGAAGGCTCAGAAATCCCTCTTGTATCGTGATGCTGAGAGGCAGCAAGGCAAGGTGCAGAAACTGGAGTTCCCACAGGAATCTAACAGTAAAGCTTCCTGTCCTTGTTGAAACCAAATAGTGTAAATACAAGAGAATTAGCATTGGAGTTTTTCTTTCCCTTTTTTTCTGTGCCTGCATAATGCTGACACCTGCTTGTTTCCATACAAACTGATATCAAAATAAACTTTGTATAGATTATCACATGCCTTTATGTCTTGCTTTCTTCTAGGAAGACTTTTTGGTCGTTGTTGTTTGGAGTGCTGAGGCTAGAAGATAGGGCCTTGCATCTGGTAATAAAGAACTCTGCCACTGAGCTACATCCCTAGCCACACGAAGAGTTTTTTGACAGTCATAAGTATGTTTTTTTTTTGTCTGCTTGCTTTTTTGTTTTGTTTTGTTTTGTTAAAGACCGAGTCTTGCCAGGTGGTGGTGGTGCATACCTTTAATCCCAGCACTTGGGAGGCAGAAGCAGGCGGATCTCTGTGGATTTGAGGCCAGCCTGGTCTACAAGAGCTAGTTCCAGGACAGACTCCAAAGCTACAGAGAAACCCTGTCTCAAAAAACAAAAAAAAAAAAAGTAGGCTGTCTTACAATTTTAGTTCTTTCGCAAAAATATTCTACTCATCTCCCACATTTCACCGTGAGAAGGTGATGTTTGTCCCTGTGACCCCCTCTCCTTTCTTGGATGAGGCAAGCTAAGAAATACATATTGTGCAAAGGACGCACAATATGTTACAGGAAGACACATCTCCTATGTTCAAAGGCCCCGTGACCCAGTTACAGAATAATGCAATTACTTAGAAACAGGAATTCAACAACAGAAGGCTGGAGAGATGACTCAGTGATTAAGAGTCCTTGATGTTCTTAGAGAGGAGGCAGGTTTGATCCCCAAGTCCACATCATGGTTCACAACTGTCTGTAACCCCAGTTTCAGGCGGTTCAGCCTCCTGTTCTTACCTCTGCGTGCACATGGCACACATACATACATGCAGTCAAAACACTCATGCACACAAAATAAATCTTTTTTAAAGATTTTATTTATTATGTATACAGTGTTCTGCCTGCATGTACAGCTGCAGGCCAGAAGAGGACACCAGATCTCATCATAGATACTTGTGAGCCACCATATGGTTGCTGGGCCTTAACTCAGAACCTCTGGAAGAGCAGTCAGTGCTCTTAACCTCTGAGCCATCTCTCCATCCCACAAAATAAATCTTTAAAAAATAAAATTAAGCAAGAGTGAGTTCAAGGGTATGTTGAGAACATATACTCAACATCACTGACTGCTCCCAGAAAGAATAATCTAATTTATTTTAATATTTTTATTTATTTGTGTGTAGTGAGTGTATAAGCATGCTGGTATTTGTGTGGAGGTCACAGGATGGCGTGCAGGAGTTGATTCTCACCTTCCACCATATGGGTTCCAAGGATTGAACTCAGGTCATCAGACTTGGCAGCAAATGCCTTTGCCTACTGAGCCATCTCACAGCCCTCATAAGTTTTTAAAAATATTTATTTAACTATTTTATGTGCATTTGGTATGAGGGTGTCAGATTCCCTGGAACTGGAGTTACAGACAGTTGTGACCTGTCGTATGGGTGCTGGGAATTAAACCCGGGTCCTCTAGGAGACCAGCCTGTTAACCACTGAGCCATCTCCCCAGCCCTGCCCTAAATAGTTTTTGTGTACAAGTCTACATTATGTTTTTTTTCTTTTTGCTAAATTTATTTTGAAACATTAATTCTTTTGGTATTATTGTTCTAAAGGGTGTTGAGGTGGATGGCCTTACTGTCAGGTGGAACACTCTATTTGGTTTTTGGTGATTCTCCAGCAGGAGACTTCAATAGTTGTTTTTTTATACATCTAGCTCTTTGTCCAACTGTAATCTAAAGATGTCTAGTAAAGGAACAACAGTCCCGGGTGAGTATCCATGTTTGAAGATGCTCCTTTAATGGTCTCACTGGAACCCTGCTATGAGAGAGTCCTGAGATGACAGCTCCTGTGTTCTTTCCTGTTAGGCCTATGCAGCAAAATGTAACACATTTCAGTGGGCTTCTCAAAGAACGGTTCAGTTCACCTCTACAGTCCTTTGCCAAGACCACCTGGCCTTGGGCTCATCACAATCACCAGTATGCTTCTTGTTTCCTGGCCTGGATCCCAGTCTTTAGTATTCCAAAAAAACCAGCTCTTACTGGAATTCTTGTCAGTTGCCCCTACCCAATGTCTTGCCTCTGCATCTTACCAAAAGAGCTCGAGTTCTGTTGTCTGTTGACTTGATGACTAATGAAACCCTGGTTGGTATGCTTTTTCATGACTGAAAATCTTGCAGCCGTGACTCAGACTGTACTTGCTTGCTCAGAGGCTAGTAGCTAGCATGAGGACATATTGTGGCTTAGGTCAGTGATGTTAAGGACCGTCACCTCAATTACTAAGAGAGTCCAGGGTCAGATGCTGATCTAAGCACAATTGGTCAGGGCAAGGCCAGAAAAAAATTCTTAGTCCAGAATAGCTGGATAAGCCCAGGAAAGGAACTAAGCCCACTTGGAATGGCATGGGCCCAGTTATGTACAGACAGCTTTCTAGAAAGCAAGGCTTAATTTCTACTGTGTTTACTAGCAAATGCCTCTAAAGGTAGTTTATTATCTTGAAACACCTAAGGGTACAGAGTTGCTGCCTTCCTTCATTGCTACCTTCCTCCATTGGTCATTCCTCATCATCTTCCTGGAACGGCACTTGCTTCTTTTGGAAAAAAGGCTGGCTTAAGCTCTTAAACTACCGTTAAGTTTTCTTTCTTCTTTCTTTCTTTCTTTCTTTCTTTCTTTCTTTCTTTCTTTCTTTCTTTCTTTCTTTCTTTCTTTCTTTCTCTTTCTTGCCTTGCCTTGCCTTTCTTTTCTTTTGGATTTTCAAGACAGGATTTCTCTGTGTAACAGCCCTAGGGTCCTGGAACTAGTTCTTATAGACCATGCTGGCCTCAAACTCACAGAGATCCGCTTACCTCTGCCTCCCGAGTGCTGAGATTAAAGACATGTGCCACCACCTCCTGGCACCTTTAAGTTTCTTGACGATATCAGCATGATTTACACAGAGCAACCACCTGGGTTAAACTCTTGTTTTGATTCCAAGTCCTTTGGCTGTCTGTGCCTCTAAGGGCTGTGCATAGACATTAAGACTAATGAAATATTTCACCTGAGAGTTTCTTAGATTAGTGAATCTCAAATATTGGTTCAAGTTAACTGCAGAGTTTCAATTACTTATAGAACAGATTTCCAAACCACTTTATCTAGAAGCTCAAAAGTGTTGTTCAGGAATTGGAATTTTTAAAATGGTCAGAGATGATTCTGTGGTGCCCCCATGTCTATATGTGTATAGCTTTCCCAACGCTTCCTGACAAGCTCTAACAGCAGAAACTATATTTCTTTAGCCATGTCGTTAAAGCCAGCTATGTGAATAGGACACTCAGTCCCTAAGCAAGAAAAAAATGAAACTATTTTGGTCACACCCATTGTCCTTGGGCTGCTTGCCTGAAACTACTAGGTAAGAGCCTCTTAACTTCAAGAGACTTGGGAAGACTAATCCTGAGTATAAACACTTCCACATTGAGTGCCACTCTAGATGCAAGCGACAAAATTGACACAAGGAGGAATGCACGTCCACCACACGCCTCCTGTTGGCGAAGTTAGTGATGGCAGAAAAGTGGTTTTCTGACAGCTGAAGGAATATTTCCTGGATGTTGTCTAAGTAGCAGGAACAAATTCTGGCCCCAACTCGGGCACTTAGACACCAGGAGCTAGGATATCCTTACGCCAGGAAATGACCTGAAGGTGCCCTGACATTACTCCCTGTCCAATCACTAGGGCTTCGCTCTCCCCGGGAAGCCTGTGAACCTGCTATGTTAAGAACTGTAGCAAAGCAGCAGAGTGGAAGAACAGGGACACATAGGAAGCACTTGACCTGTGCGGAGAGGTAGTCTCTGAAGCCCAGTAAAGTAGCTAGTCCTGTTGCTTTGGGTGTGTATTGATTGCCTTAAACCAGGATGCAGCTGAACCAGAATAAGAAATGGAATTTTAAGGCTGACTCTGACTCTGTGGTTGGTATTTATTTCTTCCCCAATAACTGAGTAAGCACTGTGACTTTGCATTTAATCTTACACAACCAGAGGAAGCTGTAGGCACAATCATGGCTAAGAAACCTGCTTTACTTGAGTCTACCCACAAACCCCATATGGAAATTCAGATACTTCAAACAAAAATGGCAGCATTTCTTTAGTCCTAGCACTCAAGAAGCAGAGGGAAAGGCACATGGATCTTTGAGTTCAAGTCCAGCCTTCCTACAGAGCGAGTTTCAGGACAGTCAGGGGCTACACAGAGAAACCTTGTCTTAAAAAACCAAAAAAGAAAAATAAATAAATAAAAATAAAAAACAAAATCAAATAAAGGGGAGTACATCAAATGCTGTCCTGCTTATTCTTCTGGGGACCTCACTGAATGGAAACAATATCAGACTAAATGACAAAAAGATTAGCTCTATTCTTCTCAGTTTGTGTGTGGATTCCTTGGCAAGATCAATGAACTCAGTTAACACAAGAACTGATTGACAAGGCTTTTTTTCAATTAATTTTACATATACACTGTAATTTTCACAACATTGAGCTCTGAAGAATTGATCAAAGCATGGTGTATTCATACTTTTCTAGATCAAGGTCAATAAATCTGTACAGTAATAACATGATGGTTTGTTATCTGGACTAGGGTCTTAAGTTCTAGGGATGTCCTTACAGAGAAAAATGGTGGGGGTGGGTGTAGTAACTATTGGAAGATAAGAGTTAAATTAAGGAGTTTGTTTACTCAAGGTCACTGAAGCCCTAACAACCAGTCTATTGTGACCAAGGCCATTTCCCAGCTTTGGTATGTGAAGGCCATCCCTCCTGAGAGAATCATTATGACTTGTCACTGTGACTTGCTGCTGCCTGTTGAAAATACAGGTCAAATGGCCTTTTCCGAAGTTAGATATGCTTCAGTGATTTCAGCTTGACACAATCAATTGAAAAGTTTGGTTTATTTAGACATGGTAGTTCTTTTTTTTAGGTTTATTTATTATCTATACAGTGTTCTCCCTGCATGTATGCCTGCACACCTGCACACCAGAACTTATTACAGATGGTTGTGAACCACCATGTGGTTGCTGTGAATCAAACTCAAGGACC